GCTGAGTCGGGGAGAGATATTCTGTTTTCCATACCAGTACATGCATGCACACACACATGCCCTTGCATAAACACACACATGAATTCATATACACACATACAGAAGGACAAAGTATCAGTACAGTTAACACATTCATAGGCAACACCCTCCAGTACACACACGCAGTACTGCTCATAGACACACCCTCATAAAATCACAGTCATAACAAATATGTGTATGACGGAAAAGCACATGCTTGTTTTACACACACACACACACACACACACACACGGATCACCAAGCAGGAGCACACAAAGAGGTTCCCAAAATTCAGGATCTCATCCTCTCATGCACACAGAAACAGGTGTATCAGAGACCTCCTCGTCACAATCATAAACACAGATACCTATTTGCACACAGAATCAGAGACACACATTCTCTCCCTCCCCACCAGTAACCAAGTCTGGGTAAGGGGGTTGCACCACATCCCTCTCCCCCAACTCCAGGGGTATAAAATATCTTGTCCAGCCCAGGAGGGACCATAAAAGAAAACCGGGCCTCTGACGGCAAAGCAGGGTAGAGAAGGCTGTCAGAAGCAGCACCCTGGCCAGACAGGTTCTTGAAGCTCAACAGGGGCCTGGCCCTCCCCTGTGCAGGCTCTCCTCCAAGGCACCGCAGTACTCACCGCTGCTCGTCAGGAGCTGGAATCGAAGAGAGGCAGAGAGGCTGGGCCCCGCTCAGCTGTAAAAGCAGCACGGCTCCCGCTTGCTCCAGGCCCGCCCGCCTCTCAGTCCCTCCTCCACCCCTCCCCACGCTCTGCTCAAGCAACGCTAATCCCCCACACACACACCTCCCTCCTTTCCCAGGGCCCTAAGTCCCAAAGAATACCACCACCTAGTCACTACCTAAGACTCACACCAGAGGAAAGGGAGAATGTAGAAAACCCCGTTCTGTTCCCTAAACCCTCATATGCCCCACCCCACTCGTGTTCAGTTCTCTCTCGTCCATCATCTCCTGAACCACACGTAGGGTCCAGCTGCATACGCCTGTCCTGCTCCAGACCCCACGCGTGTCCCTAGGAGGCTGCCACATGACCTGTTACATGCCACACGCGCTCCCGCCCCCACAAGCACGCGGCCACGCAAAGCACACGGTACGGAGTAGAACGGACCCGCCCCCTAAAACCAGAAGACCCAACTATGGAAGGGACATCAAGCGAATGCAGTCTTAAACACTTCAGGGTCCTGAACCTCAGACCCAGGAGTCCTGTCCTGAACCCTAACCCGGAGTGCAGAGAAAAGATAAGTCAGACTCCAGGAAGAACTTCCTTGCTGCCTAGGTTAATCGTCCCGCCTTTTCAGGGAGAGAGTTTAGAAGGGATGACCCCGAGACTGGGACAAGAAGCACAGGCAAACCTTGTGCCCTTGGCCAGGGTGGAAAAGGGTCTGGCTATTTTAGGAAAACGCCACACGAGTTACTATGGTAACTATTCTCCTTTGGAAGGCCAAGACCGGCAGGTTATGACCTGGAAAGGAAGAGAGGGTCGATTCGGGTGGCCAGAAGGTGCGAGGACGTTCAAAGCGGGGGTGCGCGGGGCTCACCGCGGGAAGGGGTGGCGCGAGTTCCGCGAGGTGCTGAAGGGGACAGCGCCAGATTTGTCGTAATGCGCAAGCGCAGAGGCTCGAACAAAGGGGGGGGGAGGCGCGTGCCCGGAGGTGGTGCGCGCCCACATGTATCTTGCAGAGATCTTTCCAGGCTACCCCTTTCCCCAAGTATGCTGAGACAAGGAAGCATTCCTCTCATCCACCTTCACCCTCTTCTGTCTTTCCGGTGCTGGTTGGCTTCTCCCTTTATGCTACATTGAGTAATGAGGTAGTGTAGAAGGAATTCTGGGAAAACCAGGATTTCTGGGTTCTTTATCCTCGCTTCGTTTGATCCTGGTTAAGGAGCTTCCTCCCTAGAGCCTCGGCTTGCCTGTCTTTAAAATGGACGGTCCTTTGCTACCTTTGCTGCTGCTGAGAAGCAGTTTTCATTATAAAGCGGCTGAAATGTTTGCACAGGGGCGCCCAACCATGTAGGATGCAGCGGCCCTACCGTCTTTCTCATGCCCCACACCCATCTCAGATGCTGGAGGAACATATTACGTCAGGGGTTCCCCAGAGAGGGACTTGGGCTTAGTATCTGGGGGCGCAGTGAAAGGGAAGCCTAATGATCGAGCTTTGGGAAGTCACTCTCCCTACAATTAATCCAGAGCCAGTCAAGAAGCAATATGGCTAGTGGGCTGCGCTGAGCTTGCTTTCCTCTCGGACTCTGGACTGCTGGAAAGCAGACCTGGCTGGTCCTATATAGTCCTTTCTCCTTAGGCAAAGAGCTGGCCTCCGCTGCCCTGAACTGGAAAGAGATGGATGTCATGATTGTGCACTTCACAAGGAATGGCATGTTTAAACAAGTTTGCTTGATAATAAAAGTCCTAGCATCGCCCATTTAATCCAATCTTTTTGACGACTGCTTATTGAGCACCTACGACATACCAATTAGTTATAGTCTGGGCAGTATCTCCCCCCTTTCGTTTTCCAAAGTCGCTTAAACGCGACCAGAGGACAGAAGGAGGCTCTCGGTAACCTAGGAGTCCTGGCTCCGCCCCTTCTGCCTTTGGCCTTGTCTGCTCCTCCCATCACCACTCAGAGGCGGCTACTGGCCCGCAACGAAGACCGAAAGCTGTCTTCGCTCGCCGCTACTCCAGCCTCGGGCTTCAAGCCCTGTAACTGGGGAGACATCTAATGGTCGTCTGTTCTGCCTCAGTTTCGGGGTCCATCCGAAAAGCTTCCCGATAAGGATTCTCAGTGAGACCGCACTCGATTAAATCGGTCTGTCTCTTCAGACCAAGGAGGCGGGTTCGCTGCAGCTGCTTCAAGGCCAAAGCTAGTAGAGCTTACTGCGCACGCGCAGTAGACGGCGATGGAGCCACCAATGGAGCAGTCCGGAGGGGAGCAAGAACCAGGAGCTGTCAGGTACCGAGCACTGGAGGGACCTAGGGAGGGGAAAAAAAGGCCCGCGGGTGGGCAGCTGAGTCCAGGCCGGGCCCGGATCCCTCTTGCCAGCCGGGACTCTGGGGTATAACAGAAGGACTAGCACGTAACAGCCGCCCGGGAACGTCAACGCCGCTTTCCCCTCAGGCTCCTGGACCTGCCCTGGGAAGACGTGCTGCTCCCGCACGTCCTGAACTGGGTCCCGCTGCGCCAGCTGCTCCGGCTGCAGCGCGTCAGTCGCGCCTTCCGGGCGCTCGTTCAGCTGCACCTGGCGAGGCTGCGCCGCTTCGACGCCGCTCAGGTGAGCCGGGGACCGGAGCCCCGCCCCGCCCGCCCCGCCCCGCGTGGGTACCACCGTCGCCCCGCCTCCAGGCCAGCCCCAGCCGCGCGGTAAACCCTTCCCGACCCCGGGTGCGACGTGGAGAACTCCAGAGGGCGAGTACTGGGCAGCGCCTCGGAGGGAGCTTGGTGTCTCTCCTGCGAGGGAGGGCAGGTGGCAAAGTCCCGAAGTTAGGTGACTGCCAGGCAGTGGCCCGCCCCGGGGACGGCCTGAGTCTCCGTGCCTCCCGCCCGCAGGTGGGTCCACAGATTCCACGGGCGGCACTAGTCCGGCTACTGCGGGATGCTGAGGGGCTGCAGGAGCTGGCGCTGGCTCCGTGTCACGAATGGCTGTCGGACGAGGACCTGGTGCCGGTGCTGGCACGGAACCCACAGCTACGAAGCGTAGCACTGGCCGGCTGCGGCCAACTGAGTCGCCGAGCGCTCGGGGCGCTGGCTGAGGGCTGCCCGCGTCTGCAGCGCCTTTCGCTCGCTCACTGTGACTGGGTGGACGGGCTGGCACTGCGTGGCCTCGCTGACCGCTGCCCGGCTCTGGAGGAGCTAGACCTCACCGCCTGTCGCCAACTCAAGGACGAGGCCATCGTGTACCTGGCGCAGAGACGCGGCGCGGGACTCCGCAGCCTCTCGTTAGCAGTCAATGCCAATGTGGGGGACACTGCGGTCCAAGAGTTGGCTCGAAACTGCCCGCAACTCGAGCACCTAGACCTCACCGGCTGCCTTCGGGTCGGAAGCGATGGTGTCAGGTGCCTGGGCATGGGGGTGGTACGGTAGAAAGTGGACAGTCACTTTGGGGATAGGGAGGCGGGTTGTCAAAGACCTATCAGAAAGACCTCTGGAATTTTTTAGGCTAGAAAGAGTACAGTTAAAAACAAAACAAACAGAAAACCTTTCTGAGCCAAGACTGACACACTGAGAGAGGTCACATAAAGTTGATTTCTGGTATTTCTGCAACAAGGAGTGGGGGGGATCTTGAAACACTGGAAAGAACTGTGGGTTGGTACTAAGAGCCTAAAGCCCCAAATGAGCTGGGGCCTGGAATCTGTAATTCCATCCTGGCCCCTTCCCTTAGGTCCAGTACCAGTAAAAAAAAAAAAAAAAACAGACCTTGAGCTGGAGGGAAACCTAGAATTTTCTGGAGCCAGCTGCAGGTTTAGTGGGCTGGCCCTACAGACGGTGAGAGGATCTCCAGCACCTAGCGTCACCCTGCTCCTCCCTCAGGACACTGGCTGAGTACTGCCCGGCGCTGCGCTCTCTGCGGGTACGGCACTGCCACCATGTGGCTGAACCCAGCCTGAGCCGCTTGCGGAAGCGTGGTGTGGACGTCGACGTGGAACCACCCCTGCACCAGGCCCTGGTGCTACTCCAGGACATGGCAGGCTTCGCACCCTTTGTCAACCTACAGGTCTGACTGACTTTCCTTGGGGTGGGAGCACAGCTGGACTGTGTAGCTGGGGCTTGACACTGAGCCATAGGGAAACTGGACTGTGGGGGCCTATGGTTGAGAGGCCTGGGATATGCCCTGTCCCACCCTGGAATTTCAAATAAAGAGCTTTTTACCCCTTCTTGCCTGGTGCATAGGGGCCCTGAAGCTGAGAACAGGTCAGACGGACAGTATTTTCCTGCCCTGGGGCAGGAATGACTAGAATGAACGTACACCTTCCTTGGACCGCCTTTACTGTGCTCTTGAAGGAAGCTCCAAGAATAGATCAACACTAGAGCAAGGGCATAGAGAAGGGATAGGGTGGTGGGAGGGTTTTGCATCCCTCTGGGATCCGCAATGCTCGGCCGAGTCTGGCCAGCACCTCAGTGGAAGCGATATTTTCTGGCCGGCTTGAGGTTGATGTATGTGGCCTTCATCTCCTCAGCCTCAGGGTTCCGCACATCCTTGAATCGCTCTCCTCTGGTGCTCACTACTTGGTTGTCAATGTATCGGATCAGTTTCTTGGGGGCCTGTTAGGCAATCAGGCAGTGAATGACAAAACCAGGGGTCGGTACCGCTCATTCCACATCTCCAACTGCGTACTCCTCTTACCTCCTTGGGAGCCATAGGTCGGTGAGTCTTCTGGTCCTCTGCCCTGTCCACCATCATGTACCTGCCAAACGGGCTGGATGAAGCTCCGTCCACCTGGGAGACCCTCCAAGGCCCGGCCCAGCCCAGACTTACTTCTGAAGGATGAAAGACTTCAACTCATCCTTCTGGGGGCCTCTGAGGCGCCTGGGCAAGTCCTGCAGATGTAGGAGACCTATTCTAGGCCCAGTGGTGACAGCAGGGGAGAGATGAGGATGGGCAGGGTGTGCGCTTAACAAGAAAGCCTATCAGAGCTGATGTTACTGGGGTGGGGGTTGAGGGGGCTGGAAGAGAATACCTGACTCGGACTGCCCCAGCCTGTCCCCTCTTCCTTGTCCTCCACCAGCATCTGCACAGCTTCTTCCAGGTCACCCCGAGCTTTGGCCAGCACCCACTGGGCCTGCTCCATAGAACAGGTAGGGAATACCTCCAAAAGCACATCTACTCCTGGCAGTTCCTCCTCAGCAGCAGCCGCCTGTGGGCACAAATGTTAACAGTAGGCTGCCCATCTTCCTTTCTCACCCCAGGTCCTTCACGGCGTTCTCTCTAGCAGTACCTCATCTGGGGGGTGCCCGGCAGCAGCAGGAGGCCTGCTCTCTTCTTTGAGCTTTTCAGGTTGCCTCAGGGTCTCTGGAAAAGTGGGCACCTGACCTTGGACACAGGAGCGCTGTGGGTGCCGGTTCTCTTCAGGAGGCAGAGAGGGCATTGGATTTGCCAGGGCTTGGGGGGGGGGGGTATGGGGTGGGGGGGTGGGAGTGAATCCTCCAAATACCAGGTCCCCAAACTCACCTTTGTTCCTAGCATCACTCAGCTGCACCGAGAGCTTGTGCATCAGGTCCCCTATTATGCCCCTGAAAGGGCAGAGAAGGTGGTGAAGGGGGCCACTCTGCATTCATCCCAGCCAGCCCCCTCCTCCTTTTTGCCTGAGCCGAGCCCTACCTGGGGATGTTGGCAAAGCCAGGCACATAAGCCTCCATCATTTCAATGAAGGCCTCCATATCAAAGTTCTCCTCTGATGGCCCCGAGGGGCCCAGGTCCTCCAGGACCCCAAGCACATAGGAGAAGATGACCTCATCCAAGCCACTGTAAGAAAGAGTAGGGCCACGGGGAAGGACACTGGATAGGTGGAGCAGCCCTACCTAGTCTAAGCCTTCACTCCTCAGTTTCACGGGGCCATGAGTCAGCTCAGTGCTTGAGGCCTGCCTCCTCCCAGCTCCTTCAGCTTTAGTTCTCAGTCATTCCAGTGCAGGTAATCAACACAGTATGAGAGAGAAGACCATCTAAGCAAATACAAATCAACTCTCCAGGGCTGGGGAGATGGCTCAGCAGTTAAGAGCACTGACTGCTCTTCAGAGGACCCCTTTAATTCCAGCACTTATGTGAAGTAGCTGCCTACACTGCCAGCTCCAGGGTATCTGACACCCTCTTCTGGCCTCCCTGGGCACCTGCACACACACACACACACACACACACACACACACACACACACACACACAGAAACACACAGAAACAAATAATCTTGAAAACAAAAACAGGGGTTAGCAAGATGGCCCGGTGGTTAAGAGTGCTTGCTGTTCTTGCAGAAGACTGAGGCTCAGTTCCCACCATGGAACAGGGCTCAATAGTTTCTAATCACCTTTTCATTGGCTAGCCCCCACAGTATTATCTAGCAACACCCCTCTCTGAACTTGGCCTGGTCCTTCAGAAGGAGCTGCCCTTACCTGCGGTCTGCCTCTGGGAGATGTGCCTGAACAAAGGCAAGGAGGGCTGAACTGACGATCCTCTCCAACTCCATGCTGTGCCTTCTGAAGATACAAGACAGAATTGCCAAGTCTCTGGCCTGCCTCCACCCACTGAGCCACGGGGCTGCAGCCCTTGCTCTCCCTTCTGGGGCTGAACCAGCTGCTGATGTGGCCCTCCCCGCTCCTGCAAGCAGAGCCACTCCTGTGGCCACCCACGTCTACCTCCTTCAGCCCCAGACAGGGTACAACACTGTCTCTAGAAAGCTTCCAAAGGGAGTTGTGCCCCCCCCCATCGCCTGTGGCTAGAAGCTGAGGTCTTGGGGTCACATGCTTCCTGGCTAAGGAATCTCATCACTGAAGGGGCTACTTGGCCCCCAACTCCAATCACAAGGGGTCCCATTGTCCAGCCCCGTAAAGAAGGTCTCAGGACCAAGCACAGCCCTTCCCCCATCCAGGATAGGCCACCCACTCCTTGCACAAAGGGACTTCTTTTTTTGCTCCGAAGCCTATATAAAGGAGAAGTCCTACATGGATTGTCTCCTCTTGCCAAGTCCCTGCCTTTCCAACAGTCTGGGCCATGAGAGACCTTTGTCATCTTCCAGTCTGTAGAGTACCACACAGTCTGGTCCTTGCCCACTTCAATCACACATTCCCTCCTCACCTCACTGTCCCATGCCCTTGCTGTTCCTTGCTGTTCCTGCTGGCTGTGTTATTCGTTGGTGGGTCCTAGCGCCCACAAAAATGTCTGCATTCAGCAAGTGCTAGGTAAATACTTGCTGTCTTAATTCATCTCCATGCTTTTTTTAAAAAAAATTTGTTTGCTTATTTATTTTAAAGATTTATTTATTTTATATATGTGAGTACACTGTTGCTGTCTTCAGACACACTAGAAGAGGGCATCAAATCTCATTAGAGATGGTTGTGAGCCATCATATGATTGCTCGGATTTGAACTCAGGACCCCTGGAAGAGCGGTCAGTGCTCTTAACTGCTGAGCCATCTCTCCAGCCCCAAGATTTATTTTTATTTTCTGTGTATGAGTGTCTGCCTGTGTGTATGTATAGGCACAAAAGTACATGCCTAGTGCTCAAGAAGGTCAGAAGAGGGCGCCAGATCCACTAGAACTGGAGTTTCAGAAGGCTTTAAGCCACCGTGTGGGTGGTGGTAACTGAACCTGTGTCCTTTGCAAAAGCAGCAAGTGCTCTTAACTGCCAAGCCAGATCTCCAGCCCCCATTTCCATGGTTTTGACTCCCTCAAACTCTTTATGACTCAGGAATGCACAGATGGTAGGAATGGCTCAAGACTCAGGGAACCAAATGTCAGCCAGTCCTCTCATTTGGAAAGTTCTAACATAGTCTCAGAATCCACCTACACCAAACTCATCTCCACAGGTCCACTTCCCCGGGCAAACACATACCACTCAGTCTGCTACCCTACATGAACTTGGGGGTACCCTCGATCTTGTCCTCTTTCATTCCTCCCAGGACCCAAATGATCAAACCAAGTCCTACTGACTACACCCTCTTTTCCCTCCTGCTAACTTCTCTCCCAGTACGGCTTCTGTTCCTTCATCTCTGCTAGCATTTCTCAGGCTAAGGTTACTAGTTATTTTCAGGTTTTGGCCTACTGAGGTTGAACCATATAACTCCCCAATTTTGTTTCGAACACTCTATGTATAGTTTTGCTCAATATTTGCCCTTTCAGCAACACCACCTAGGTCTCCTAAGATCACAGCCTCTGGTGTCCACCCCCCTGCAGAGACTTCCTTCCTGGTTCCCAACTTCTCTGCCGCCCTCTGAGTCAAGGCCACTGCCCTCCTTACCCTGCTGCTTTCTCTTAGCAGTGGCTCATCTGGGCCCCTCCTACGCACAACTGTATGTCACCAACTCCCAAATGTTCAGTTCTCTAGTTCAGTCTGTGGGCTACTCATTCCTATACTTCCCTGACCCCACTATATGGAGAGCTTACAGGTATCTCACTTTGCATGTCCTGAAGGGACATCCTCCCTAAATGCATGTCCAGATACAGCTATTCCAGCATCAAGTCTAGGAGTTGACTGTGACACCACCCTGCCCTTGCTTTCCACCAACTGATTAGTTACATCTACTTTGTATGTGTGTAGAGTGTGCTGTACTGTGCTGCTGTGCTGTGTGTGCTGTGTGTGCTGCTGTGCTGTGTGTGCTGTGTGTGCTGTGTGTGCTGCTGTGCTGTGTGTGCTGTGTGT